TATGTTACTACCCTTATTTATATATTTTTATTTAATATATTATCGAGTATTTAATTTTAAATTCTTCTCTTAATTTTCAACTAAATAAACAAAACAGTTATCAAAATAATGTTTTATTTGAGATAAAGAATTTCATGAAAGTAATATTTATGAAAAGATAAAACATTTTGATGACAAAATCTAAGTTTCAAATTTTATTTAATTATTTTGCTAATTATATTTAGAAGATATATGTTTGTGCTACCAAATTTTATTGATTATAAGAAGAGACCAAATCCTAAAAATAAAAGTTCAGTCACAGAACAAATCTGCTATAAAAATAATAGTTTGAGGGACCAAATTTGTTATAAGAATGTAATTAGTTTGAGGGACCAAATGTGTAATAAAATGAAAATTAGTTTAAAGGACCAAATCTGTTATTAAAAATAAAAGTTGAGGGTGAGAAGGGTTAATAGACAAAACTGCCTCTCACCAACCGAAAAACTTAACTTAAAGAGTTAGTGTCAGAAGCATATCCGTCATAAAAATAATACTGTAGAAACGTCCCTTGTCAAATTTTTTTTGAAGGATCTTATTCGTCAATTTATCTAAAGTACAAGGACCAAAACTATATTTAACTCTATATTTTAATCATATAAATGCTATCGTCTTTGTCCAATTTAACTTATGAAAAACAAATCATGGAAAATGTTCAACAAGACAGTCAACTCAGTTCGTCTTGTTACCAAATTCAGCATTGATGTCGTTTAATTCCATGAGTCTAAAGGGCCGCTTATTAAATACTTATTTAGTAAGTGTTGATCGGTAACTTTTCTCACCTGATACATATGATAAGGGCTGAGAATCTTACTCAGTAAGAAAAATGATATGGATAGAGAATCTTACCCGGTAAGTGATGGTGAAGACTCTTACCCGGGTAAGCGTTTACCGGGTAAATTATTGCATACGATATTTTTAATATACTACAATTTTATCTGGTAAAATAGATTATAGCGTTGACTCCTACCGATAAGCGTTTATCGGATAAGTATTTGGGTAAACGTCAAACGAAAATGACAAATTGGGATAAAATTAAAAATATATATATACATATATACGTCTAACAGATACTTTTATTCAAGATATAATTTAAACATATAAAATTACAACAATATTTTAATTAATTTTACCCAAAATTAAAATACGTATTTGTATAGTAATATTGTTTCCTTTTTATGTGATTAATCTAACTTAGGGGCCGTTTACCAAAACACTTACCCAGTAAGTGTTTACCGGTAAAATTTAATACTATTATTTACTTACCGGGTAAGATTTTAGTCCACAAAAACCACATCATATGCAACAATTTTACCTGGTAAACGCTTATCGTGGTAAGAGTCGTCGCCCTCACTTACCCGGTAAGACTTTTGGTCCTTGTCTCGTTCTTACCGGGTAAGATTCTTGGTCCTTACCATATTCATCCGGTATGGTAACATGACTTGATAAACACTTACCCAGATAAGCGTTGATAAACGGCCCCTTAGTTTTGGAACAGTGTTTATTTTTGTTTCAGTTGCATAAAGATGGAAAAAGTATTTATTCCAATTATATATATAGGGTATATTTCAAATGCAATCATATTAATTTATACAACCAATACAACCCAATCAATAAATGAGTTTGGCACATTTAAGGCATTGGATTGTAATTATAATGAATCTGAACCATTTAATATAGCATTTGAGTGGTATATATATGCTTTATAAAAAATGAATAGATTGTTAAAAAAAATTATAATTATACGATCAAATCATTTTAAAATTGTATAATATCAACATGCTTGTTTAGAATATTTGAATTGTGTCTTAAAATTTATGATTAAAACTGATACAGTTTTAAACACATAAATCATATAATTTGTGATATTCAGTCATTTTGGGAAATACAAATATGACAATGAGTGAAGTTGCAACGATTGCCATTTGAACATTTTGAAAAAGATTGAGTACTCGTATCTCGTTTTTATTGATATAAATTACTTAACTTTTTCATAAAGTATATTAAGGTTTTGTTGATTGATAAAAACTCTTAAAAACCATTTTTATGTATAAAATATTATTTATTGATACATATTACTTAAAATTCAAGACTACAAGCAGCTTGTGTTTAAGTATAACTTATTAAAGTTTTGTTTTGAATTCGTTTAACTAACTGAAGATAAATATAATTAAATACTGGATAAAGATCTTATTTTTTTTAAATCTATCATATAATTAGAATAATTATTGAATTCTAACAAAGTACTTAATTACTACATTTATACTAATTATAAAACATTTGATAAAAACACTTAAACACTATCTTTTTTATGTACGACGTATTGTTTATTGATGCATATTACTTAAAATTCAAGATTACAAGTAAAATGTGTGTAAGTACAACTTACTATAGCTTCATGTTTGAATTCGTATAACTAATTGTAGATAAAGATAAAAAAATAGAAAATAAATATCTTATTTTAAATATAAAAAATCTAAAATATAATTAGGATAATCATTAACTTCTAAAAAGAATACTTAATTATTATTAATATAAAATTATATTATTAAACAAAAAATAAAAAAAATGAATTAAAAAAATACACAAAAATAAGAAATTTTAATTAGTTAGTTTGGTACTAATATTAATATTTATTTTTTCAATTTTTATGATATTATTATATTTATATTTTATTTAAAAATAAAACATTATCGCTTTATCAAAACCATATAAAACCGTATTATAACATCGACTGAGATAAAAAAATACATAAAACAAAACATTAAAATTAAGATGTATCTCGCTGTATTGTACAAATACTGTTCTGATATATAAAAAACTTATATTATTAAACCAAAAACAAATGATTTCAATTAAATATTAAATATATAGACTTAAAAAAGTACCATCATCGCAACAACTTTTTAGTTAATTTTTTTTTCTTTAAACCGTATTTTTCCGTCTAAAAAATTGATGCTTTTTATTTTTGGTCTCCTAAAAATATAAAATATTTCTTTTAAAAAAACTATTATTTTCAATGAATCTATTTTTGCGTTAATATATGGTAATTAATCTTTTTATTAATTTATATATTTTTTAAATAATTACTGTTAATATATATATATTTTCTAATTTCAGTATGTATATGTGTATACATATATATGCTTCTTCTCTCCGTCTTCTTCTCACCAAAACTTCACCAACAGTCCAGATCAAACCACTACTAACCGGATATCGCTTCTCCTCCTCCGCCGGAGCTTCACAACCACCATGACCGCCAAAGAAGACTGCGGCCACCACCTCGACGACGAACGCCGGAAATTCTACCGCCTTATAATGGCAGCCATACTCTCCGTTATTTTCATAATTCTGTTCGTGATTCTCCTCATATACCTCATCCTACGCCCCTCAAAACCAAACTTCACCCTCCAAGACGTCACTCTCTACGCCTTCAATATCTCCACCGCCGCCACCACCGTCACCTCCAACCTCCAAATCACGATCTCCTCCCGCAACCCTAATGCCCGCATCGGGATCTTCTACGAAAAACTTGATGTTTACGCCACCTACCGGAGCCAACAGATCACGCTACCAACACAAATCCCGCCGTCGTACCAAGGCCACAAGGATATCACCGTTTGGTCGCCGTACCTGTATGGAACTGATGTTCCGGTAGCGCCGTATCTGGTCATGTCTTTGGCCCAGGATGAGACCGCTGGAACTGTGCTGGTGAACGTTAAAGCTACCGGAAGAGTGAGATGGAAAGTCGGAACTTTTGTTTCCGGCGGGTACCGGTTGAATGTGAACTGTCCGGCGTATATCACGTTTGGGAACAAGAACGCTGGTTATGCGGTTGGTCCTGCCGTTAAGTATCAGTTGGTTGAAGGGTGTACTGTGGATGTTTAACGTTACACTTCTTTAACGCCGTTAAAAACCGTCATGCAATTTTTTGATTTTGGTAGTATTATGAGAAAAGAAAGCAAGGGAAATCAAGAGGAAGGAAATGTTGGTGAAATTTCTATTTTGATCTTGTAATATTTTTTTTTCACAAAAAGTCTTTATGGTGTTTTGTGTTGAAATCTTAATAATATTCTGATATTTTTTATTGCTCTATAATACTTCTTTTGTTTTATCATAATATTTATATTTAGGGGCTCTTTATCGACACTTACCCGGATAAGTGTTTACCAGAAAAATTCAAAACTATCAATTATTTACCGGGTAAGATTTTAGTTCACTAAAAATGGTATCGTATGCAACAACTAATCGTGGTAAGAGTCGTCACCGTTACTTATCAGGTAAGACTCTCAGTCCTTGAACTTCGTTCTTACCGTATAAGATTCTTGGTACTGTAGTATATGTTAACAACACAAATAAACTTTTATGGCATCTATTAGGAGATTTGCTTCATTTCAAATTTTATATGCATTCACAAATGATGAAATTCATTGTTGATTTGCAATAAACAATCTGTGCACCCGAATTTGTTTCAATTATATGTTTGTATTTTGGTTTGGGACGAAAAAGAATCGATGTGGAAAGTCAGGGAGAAAATGAAATTTGAAGCATCTATGGACGGATCCAGCTATGTGGTATAGGTGGCATGTGCCATCGTATTATTTCTCTGCCAATGGATAAAATATTTAGGTTCGTGAACAATGCAACCGTATTCGTTTGTTGTGTGCCACCGTATGTATTTTGAAACTACAATAAGAACAAAATTTTATTTGGTAGAGTTGGTTTGCAAGACTTTTATTCCATCCCAGACCCAAGTTCAAATCATGTTAGTGTCAATTTCTTAGTCAAATGGTGCCACCATTTAAAAAAAATGTATATTTGTTTCTTATAGTCAAACGGTGGCACCATAAGAAAAAAAAATTCCCTATATTTTTTTATGGTCAAATGGTACCACCGTTTGAAAAAAATTCTGGATCCGTCCCTGAAAGCATCTATTTTGCCATTATCCAAAAAATTTAAATGCAAGGTAGTTGATGGTTTTCCTTTAATTCTTGTATCCTCTGTTCATTTGAGGGCAAAATGCACAAAATAACAATTTATTTTTATAAAATTCTTTATATTATAGCATTGTACTTTTAGTTTTTCTTATTACAGCAATGTACATTCAAATTATTTTTTATTACGACATTGTACTTTGAAAAATTTACCCATTATAGCATTGGGTAACCTTTTGATTTAAATTTATTCATTATACCAGGTTTTTATGCCACCTCATTGTCCATAACGTAGTGTTTGGTACGCAGACGGGACGGGACGGGACTGGACGGGACGGGACGGGATGGAACTGGACGGGACGGAACGGGACAGGACGGGACGGGACGGGACAGGACGGGACGAGACTAATTGTCTGTCCCATGTTTGGTACAACTAGAACAGGACATGACAAAACTGTTAAAATGACCATATTACCCTTAAATGTTGCTCAATGTTATTTTATATCATATAATGATTGTAAAATGACAACAAATCAACCAAAATATATTTTAATTACATAGTTTTTATAATCAAGTTTAATACATTAAATATAAATCCAAAAAAATGACAAGTTTTTATAATCAAGTTTAAATATTACCCACATGTAAATAAAGAGATACCAACAGAAATT